CCCCCTGGGTAAAGTGCCATGGCATCACAGCTCACAGCAACCTCCAACTCCTGGGCTCAAGCGAGTCTTCTGCTTCAGCCTTCCAAGTAGCTGGGACTACAGGCGCCTGCCACAACGCCTGGCCATTTTTTTGGTTGCAGCCATCATTGTTGTTTGGCAGGCCCGGGCTGGGGATTTGAACCCGCCACCTTAGGTGTATGTGGCTGGCGCCTTAGCCTCTTGAGCCACAGGTGCCGAGCCGGGATAAACATTCTATTACATACTTGGTCTCAGAAATCTATCCAACGGGGAAAATATAGTTATGTTTACAATTCTGATTGGAACTGGGTAGCAACTGAGAAGAAAAATAAGAGACAAGAGCAGAACTTTCTGGACAACAGGAGGCAACAAAGACAATTTCCATTTTGTACATAAAAGGCAAACTTACCAACCCACCAGGACTGTCATTTACTGGTTTCCCTACAAGAGGAAATTTGAATGTCATAATGAATCAAAACTATATGTTATCTGGATTTTTGGCTACTTTTTATTTCTCCGAACTGGTCCTAGACAAAACCTCCCCATTTGGCCTCTCCCTTCTTCCTGGTTTCCCTAGAACCTAGAAATAGTGTCTTCAAACTCTCTTCCTTCTCTGTTTCAGAATAATTATCATTTACATGCCAAAAAGGGTTTGATTCACACTATATTCTTTTTTTTTTTGAGACAGAGCTTCAAGCTGTCCCCCTGGGTAGAGTGCCGTGGCAACCTCCAACTCCTGGGCTCAAGCTAGTCTCCTGCCTCCGCCTCCCAAGTAGCTGGGACCACAGGTGCCTGCCACAATGCCCAGCTATTTTTTTGGTTGTAGCCATCATTGTTGTTTGGTGGGCCCGGGCTGGATTCGAACCCGCCACCTTAGGTGTATGTGTCTGGTGCCTTAGTCACTTGAGCCAGAGGTGCCGAACTGATTCACACTATATTCTAATGATATGCCACTTTTAAGGGGATGATTCTTACTACAAAAGAAAAAAAGTAGAACTCTAGGCAACTATGACACATGAATTGGAGCGATATTTTGAGGCAAGGCCTTTTTCAAATCAAACTGGCAGTTGTTTACTTGTCCTATAGTGAATAAAATTAGCCATGGCCATCAGAGATTAAAACTTGGGAGATATCTTTAAGACAGACACTTCTAAGGTGGGTGGCTCCTGTGGTTTAGTGAATAGGGCGCCAGCCCCATATACTGAGGGTGGTGGGTTCCAACCCAACCCCAGCCAAACTGCAACAACAACAAAAAATAGCCTGGTGTTGCAGCGGGTGCCTGTAGTCCCAGCTACTAGGGAGGGTGAGGCAAAAGAATTGCCTAAGCCCAAGAGCTGGCAGTTACTGTGAGCTGTGATGTCCCGGCACCCTACTGAGGGCGACAAAGTGAGACTCTATCTCTTAAAAAAAAAAAAAAAGACACTTCTAAGGTAAAAGTCACTGAATACTCTAAAACATAAGGAAGTATTTATATTATAGTATTTTTTTTTTTTTGAGACAAGAGTCTCACTTTGTTAGCCTTGGTAGAGTGCCGTGGCATCACAGCTCACAACCACCTCAAACTCTTGGGCTTAAGCAATTCTCTTGCCTTAGCCTCCCAAGTAGCTGGAACTATAGGTGCCCACCACAATACTCAGCTGTTGTTTAGAGATGGGGTCTTGTTCTTGCTCAGGCTGGTCTTGAACTTGTGAGCTCAGGCAATCCATCTGCCTCAGTCTCCCAAGTGCTGGGATTACAGGCGTGAGCCACTGTGCCCAAATATATAATATTCTTTACTTGAGTGATTACTCTAGCCAAACTTTATACTTTCCTTCTACAAGTATTTATATATATATATATTTTTTTTTTTCTGATGCAAGAGTCTCACTTTGTCACCCCACTGCACCCAGCCCTAAAAGTATTTATGTATTAATTTTTCTTTTAAAAACTCAATAAGATAGATAACTAGTATTATTCTTCACCATTTCACAAAGTAGGCACAGAAGGATTAAGTAATTTATCTAACTTTACACAGCTATGAAGTGACAAAACTGCCAAGATTTTGAACCAGGGCCAGCACCCATAGCTAAGTGGGTAGGGCGCCGGCCACATACACAGAGGCTGGTAGGTTCGAACCTGGCCCGGGCCAGCTAAAACAACAATGACAACTGTAACAACAACAAATAGCCAGGCATTGTTTCGGGTGCTTGTAGTAGCAGTTACTTGGGAAGCTGAGGCAAGAGAATTGCTTGAGCCCAAGAGTTTGAGGTTGCTGTGAGATGTGACACCACAGCATTCTTTCTACTCAGGGCAACAGCTTGAGATTCTGTCTTTAAAAAAAAAAAGATTTTGAACCAGGCTTAGCCAGGCATTGTGGTGGGCACCTGTAATCCCAGCTACTCGGGAGACTGAGACAAGAAAATCACTTGAGCCCAAGAGTTTGAGGTTGCTGTGAGCTATGATGCCATGGCACTCAACCCAGGGCAATTGAGTGAGACTCTGTCTCCAAAAAACCCCCCAGTGATTTGAACCAGGCAGTTTGGCTTGGACCACATACTCCGGACGTAGATGCAGCCTAATCTGATGGACCATTTGGCCATATTCAGCTGGTATTGCTAACCCATTTTCTTCCCTACCACCCACACTCACATCATTCTACTTACCGGGTGACATGTTTTCATGAAACCATTTCATCTCCACATATAGAGTGAAAACAAATGGGTAGGGGATCAAGACGATTTCCCCATGTTTGAATTTCAGGTGGGAAACTCTCTCCCATTTGCTTTTATCTGGGAAATGGTGCTAAGGAGGGAGGAAAGATGCCAGTATGCATTCCTTCCCTGGGTACTATTTTAGCTATAAGATTCCCTCTTCTTTCCCTGATCTACTCTCCAAACTGCCTCTGGTTTTGCTGCTTCCATTGGAATTTACAATGTGAATAGTAGCTAATTTGCAGCCATGAAAGAAAGGATACAGGGAAATACAATGAAGTGTTCTGTAGCAAAGGGCTGCAGATTGTCCAAGTTTCCCAAGACTACGCGGATAGAATCCTGAAAAAAAAATTGACATGACTTTAATATTGTCGAGTCTCAGCCAATCTTTCCATTTTTATTTGTCACTGCTCATCACATATATATTCTATCAAAGTTGAGCTATTTGCTGTTCCCTGAATGTGACTTTGGCTTCTCCATTTCCATGCTTTTGTAGTCTGTTCCCTCTATTGCCTAAAATGCCCTTTGCACCATCAACACATTTCCAAATACCTACCTGTCCTTTAAGGTAAAGTGCAAAAAGCCATCGCCTCCAGAAAGCTTTCTCTGATTTACCAAGTTGTAATTAACTATTAGTCCCAAACTTCATGGTAGTTAGTCTAGAACATTTACTACCTTCTACTGGGAGGTCTACTTGAAGTAGAATATGCACCTGATTTATCTTTGTATCCCTTCTATGGTGTCTACCATAGTGGATGATGTATAACAGGTTCTCAACAAATGTATATTGAATGAGTGGGCACAGTAGCTCATGCCTGTAATCCTAGCACTCTGGGAGGCTGAAGTGTGAGGACTGCTTGAGCTCAGAAGTTTGAGACAAGCCTGAGCAAGAGCAAGATCTCATCTCTACTAAAAATAGAAAAATGAACCATGTATCAGTAATTACCAGTATTATTCACTCATTCATTTTTTTTTTCCAGAGACAAGAGTCTCACTTTTTAGTAGAGAGTTGTGGCGTCACAGCTCAAAGCAACCTCCACCTCCTGGGCTTAGGAGATTCTCTTGCCTCAGCCTTCTGAGTAGCTGGGACTACAGGTGCTCACCACAACACCCAGCTATTTTTCTGTTGCAGTTTGGCCAGAGTCAGGTTCGAACCCACCACCCTCGGTATATGGGGCTGGCACCTTACCCACTGAGCCACAGGTGCCGCCTATCATTCAATTTTTTTTTTTTTTTGAGACAGAGTCTCACTCTATTGTCCAGGCTAGAATGCTGCAGTATTTGCTTAGCTTACAACAACTTCAAACTCTAGGTTCAAGTGATCCTGCTGCCTCAGCCTCCAAGCAGCTGGAACTACAGAGATCAGACACAGTGCCCAGCTAATTTTTCTATTTTTATTTATTTATTTGCAGTTTTTGGCCAGGGCTGGGTTTCAACCTACCACCTCTTGCATATGGGGCTGGCACCCTACTCCTTTGAGCCACAGGTGTTGCCCAATTTTTCTATTCTTAGTAGAGATGAGGAGTCTCACTTTTGCCCAGGCTGGTTTCGAACTCCTGTCCTCAAGGGATCCTCCCCCCTTGGCCTCCTAGAGTACTAAGGATTATAGGTGTGACCCACTGTGCCTGGCCAGTTATTTTGCTTTTGCTTAACTCAAATATCTTCTTTTTATTTATTTATTTATTTTGAGACAGAGCCCTAGAGTGCAACCCACTAGCTCAGGTGTATGTGGCCCGTACCTTAGCCATTTGAGCCATAGGCGCTGAGCCTCTTCTTCACTTTAAATCATAATTGATAGTCCCTAATTAACATATGCTTATATGTCTATACTAATTAAACAATTTGGTATCAGAAAGAATATTATATTTCTATGGGGAAAAATCCAAATTTTGGACCCAGCTTTGTCATTTCATCACTCTCAGCCTCATTTTCTTTTTTTTTTTTTTTGAGACAGAGCCTCAAGCTGTCCCCCTGGGTAGAGTGCCATGGCATCACGCTCACAGCAACCTCCAACTCCTGGGCTCAAGTGAGTCTCCTGCCTCCACCTCCCAAGTAGCTGGGACCACAGGCGCCCGCCACAACGCCCGGCTATTTTTTGGTTGCAGCCGTCATTGTTGTTTGGCGGGTCCGGGCTGGGGATTCGAACCCGCCACCTTAGGTGTACGTGGCTGGCGCCCTAGCCGGTTGAGCTATAGGCGCCGAGCCCAGCCTCATTTTCTTAATGTTTGGGCTCACAGAAGACAAAAACTGTATCTTGTTTATCTTTGTATTTGCTGTACTACCATAATGTTTAGCTTATAATTATAATAGCTAATATTTATTGAGTAACAACCATGGCAGTGTTATTGTTTTAATACATGTTAATTAATTTAACACCACAAACCCCCCATCAAACAGGCACTTCTATCATTCCCATTTTACAGATGAGGAAAGAAAGAGGGTAAAAACATATTTGTAGTTATACAGCTAGAAATGGTAGAGCTAAGATCTGGAGCCAGAGTGTGGAGTTCCAGAGTTCACATCTCTTAACTATTAGGCTAGATTGCTTATCAGTAAATGTTTTCTAAATGAATGAAAGAGAGTAATAACAACTGCCCCCAAACTATTGAGAGTAAGATAACATATAAAAATCACTTTAGATAGAAAAAATAAATAAATCACTTTAGAGGCTTGGCACCTGTGGCTCTAGCGGCTAAGGTGCCAGCCACAAGCACCTGAGCTGGTGGATTCGAATCCAGCCTGGGCCTGCCAAACAACAATGATGGCTGTAACAACAAATAGCCAGGCATTGTGGTGGGCGCCTATAGTCCCAGCTACTTGGGAGGCAGAGGCAGGAGAATCGCTTGAGCTTAGAAGTTGGAGGTTGCAGTGAGCTGTGATGCCATAGCAGTCTACCCAGGGGAACAGCTTGAGGTTCTGTCTCCAAAAAAACCACTTTATAATCTTTAATATGGGCTGGGCGGAGTGGTTCATGACTGTAATCCCAGCACTCTAGGAGGCTGAGATAGGTGGATCCCTTGAGCTCAGGAGTTCAAGACCAGCTATGATGCTATGGCAATCTGTCAGGGGCAAGAAAGTGAGACTATCTCAAAACAGATAAATTAAACAAAAACAAAAATAGAAGAATCTTTACTATGATACATAAATGTATGTAAATACTCTAGTTACTGGTTATTGAGTACTATGTGGCAAACATTACACATATTTACTTCTTTTTTTTTTTACAATTTTTTTGGCCAGGGCTGGGTTCGAACCCACCACCTCTGGTACATGGGCCCAGTGCCCTACTCCTTTGAGCCACAGGC